GCCGACCGGCTCAACACGTTGTACGTGTGAATGCTGATAAGCTATGGCATATAAGCCATTGAGAAGGCGAGGACAAGCGGGGTCTCGGAAGTGTAAGGGATAAGAGCACGGTCCCCGGAAAGGACAAGTGCGGTTCCGAATCCCGTCCGAAACTGAAGTTTTTTTTTCATAAATCGCCAACCTTGTGAAACTATCGCTTCGCGTTGTGCGGCTTTAAAACAGCAGTTAGCAAAACATCAAGTCAAAACAACATGTCAAGTGTTCAGCTTAACGGTTCAGTGCTGATATTGGCCGACCGGCACAACACGTTGTACGTGTGAGTGCTGATAAGCTATGGCATATAAGCGTTAAGAAGGCGAGGGCAAGCGGGGTCTCGGTGGTGTAAGGGATAAGAGCATGGTCCCCGGAAAGGACAAGTGCGGGTTCGATTCCCGTCCGAGACTGAAGTTTTGACCATAAATCGCCAACCTTGTGGGACGTTCGCTACTGCGGCGTTAAAACAGCAGTTAACAAAACATGGAGTGGATTCACTTTCACAGCTATGCATTTTATTGGCCATATTGATGTACGTTAATGTATATATTTATGTTTATTTATTGGTATATTTTAGTTGTTTCCTCGTGCTTCCATCATTGGTAGATCCGATTGGAATAGTTCTGAGAATGCGACCATGACTTATCGTGCGAAATGGTTCACGTCGCCTTCAAAGAATACGGGTGTAGTTATTGTAAGCTGGTAAAAAGTTCAAAGAATAATGAAAGACATTTTCATTTCGTAGATAGCCTAGTTTAGTTAGAAGATCCTCGTAATCAGCTGCTTGCGAAGAGGGTGCTCATAGAGCATGGTTACTTCGCCGAACTGCAAGAGAAGAACGATGGTACCAATGCAATGGTATGGATCGTTTATTTTATTCACTTATTTTCTTGTACTGAGGTCTACATATAAATTCAGCTGACTATTTTCAGATCAACATATCGTGTATTCCTAATATTTTCCAACATGATTCCCTGTTTGAGAAATATGTCCGTGAGATGCTACAAGTGAATGGTGTTGGTGTGAAGCGTGCCTATCTGAATCATTCTTATAAGGGAATGCACGAGTGTGTTATAACCTAATACCGCTTTTTAATTTAAAGTGAGCTACTCTCACATTCATTTAACCAGTATTCGTTTTTCAGTGTTGATGAGATGGCGAGACGTACTGTCTATCGTGCGATCGTTGAGTACCTCATAAGAAACCACGAGTGGCATGACCCTCATCCATTATCCATTTACGATTGGAAAAAGGTCAGCTACCTCATTCTACTTATGGGTTGAGTACTGCTGCATTTGACAATTAATAGTCATAATGTCATGCATGAAAGGGCGTTCAGGATTCTGATCTGTATAATAGAATGGTGATAACATTTCAAAACAAAATCTCAAAAAGTGAAGTTCGATCCTCACAAGAGTGAAACTTCAAACATATGATGCAGAAGGATTTTTATAAGGCGCAATGTAGCGGTTTTAAGCTGATGAATCGGGATCTCCCATGGCATTGGCACCTCCTAGAGAAAAATGGAGAAACGGAGAGTGAGGAAGGGACTTCAAGCAGGGAAGCGGAATTGGTATTCGACGATGTCGACTGCGGTTTGCGCATGGTAGACGTATTAGCGTTCAGCGACAAAGAACTTGAGTTTTCCAATGGATATGATCCTCCGCAAAGAGTGAGTACTCGATCGTGATTGCTCTATTCATGGTTGGTGTCCAGTATTGTGGAATTCAGATTGTGATGAAGCCAATTTACTGCGTGCAAGTTTGTGTTACCAAAGAAGTGCGAGTAGCCTGTGATTCATTCATTAGGTAGCTTTCTTTTTGCTGTTCACTCTTGTATGCAATCAAAAAACTTACTCTGATTTGGTGATGATAACAGGGAGTTAAACGAAGAAGAGTCAACAGAAGAGGATCCCATGCATTCACTAGAGATCGTGGACAAGACATGGACGGCGAATTACGAGGCCACGGACGACAGCGACACCAGTGAGGGTGAACTCAGTGTACAAGGATGGCCCCGAGAGTGAGGTTTTCCCCTTATTTCTATGAATCAGTTGTTCCTTGTGTTTGATGAGAGTGAGTGGTTGGCCTTGCTTCTTAGCAGGCTCATCGATTAGATTTAGAAGTTACTGCGATAGAAGGGTTCTCTAAGAAGGCTTCATGAACTCTGAGTTATAACGTTGTCTCCTTCGTCCTTACTTAGTTGGATTGGACTTTGCTACAGCTTCTAAGATGTGCAAAAATGCTGCTGCGGAGAAATCAGTCGAGTAATCTGTGAAATTTTGGAAAGAAAGAGCGCTCATTATAGAGAATGATTCCTATTTTATATTCTTATGGAAAGCTAGTGATCATTTCAGGCATGTGGAAGAGGTTGCCATGCGACTCATTTCATATTTTGGAGGCTCCTACATTGACTGCAGTAATGATGTCAATGGAAAACTTCTGTATGGGTGAGTATTCCATCTTGCACGTCAAAAAAATCGAGTAATACTCGATTATTTTTTGTTCGGCCTATTGTATGGGCTCATATAGTGTTGTTCAGTGCTGATGCCTGCTTGACCTAATTCGTTCGTCGTTTGGTGGTGTGTCAGTAAAGTTTTGGGCATAAATTGATGCCCTTCGAGAACGGAACATTCACTCTATGATCCAGTACAATAAGGCTTAAAGTGAAGAGCATGTTATGAAAGCTGAACGGAGAAAGAAAGGAGAAAACGATTCTGGAAAAGTCCGAGAGCCTTTCTTACTATATATAAAGCGCTCGCGTCTGTTTACTTGCTCTCAAATTCGATATTACCAGAAGAGGAACCAGCAGAAATCGGGTCAAGATCGAGATGGACTGGGCATAGGACAAGGTCAACGGAGCACATGTGTGCTCACAGGAGCTCCACCCACAGGGGGCTCACGACAGTGAGCACTGTCTTGAGCAAAACGTGTGAATTAGGTTTCAAACAGCCCTGATGCCGGAAAAAAATGGGCAAACGTGAGGGATGGGTCAACAAAGTGAACTGACGGAGACTCACTGGCGGAGCGTTCCCGCAGTAGGCACTTACCACGTAAGATCATAACTCGATTCAACGGGAGCGTGATGGTAAGAAAAAGACAAACGAAGTGTGCGAACCTCACGCGTGCCGATCATGCGGGAACTGTTGAAGCTCCGCCCACAGTGGGCGGGGCATGCATTCAAATTGTAGGTCCTTTTTGAAAAAACCTACAACTCTGTTTAAAAATGTTCTGCAATGTGGAAAGTAAGTGGTTAGAAGCTATAGAAGAAAAGCTGTCAAACCCCTGACATGGGCGGGATTTGCGCTAAGGCGAACGGGCTAAGATCAAAAAAATGGTCGGAGGTAATAGAAGGAATGTGTGCAAATCGATGGAGTGGGCGCAGTGTGCACCAAGGGGGGGGGGCGTGGCTAAAATCATAAGTCCATAACTCTGTTCATGAATGTTCTAGAACACGGAAAAAAATGTAGTCGAAGGTAAGGGGTGAAATGTAGTCAAATACCTGACTAGACTAGAGTCTGCACACTGGTGGGCAGGGCTAAGATCGAAAATTTATAACTAGATTGAAAACGTTCAAGAACGCGGTGAAAACGATTAGGGGCAGCTAAAAGAGGGTTGGTCGAATTTTCATAGTGGGGTCTGCACCGAGGTGGACGTTGTCATGTTCAACCACTAATAATTCTGCACAAAATAAATAAATTGAGTGGGGTGCTCTCAAAGCGGTGCAGCGTTCAAACCTTGAGAACTCAAAGCGGTGCGGCGTTCAATCTTGAGAGAAATATCTTATTTTGATAACCCAACACTGCTGAATGACCCCATCTTAGTGAGCTGTCCTGGGCATATAATGCAAGCGTTAGCGTGCATAGCCCAATTGGTTTTTCTATAAAGCCGTTAACTGTTGAAAGGCTGATAAACAACATGGGCGGTACAAGCTTTTGTTCTTAGTAGAGTAAAGGCGTGAACTGATTCATGTGTAGCACTTAATACGTTGACGACGAGAGCGTTTTTCGTTTGCGCGCCCACGGGACGAGACCGTTTGAAGGCGCTGACTAATCGTCGGTCACCATTGGCGGACCTCGTCCCACGGGACAGACACCTATTGAATTTGCTGTATTCACGAGTAATAAGATTCTA